AGTTCCCTTGATCCAAGCGGATCTCTCTTGGGGCGATATTCTCCGGGAGGGCACCGTTACACACATGCCCCGCCCATCTCTCCTGGCCATCACGATGCTCCCATCTAGCGGTGGCTCCAAGAAGCCATGGCAGAACTCGCCTCCTATCCCTCCTCACCCAAGCATCGTGCAGCGCCGCATGGAGCTGCTCACGTCTGATATGCTCACCCGGGCTCTGACTCTGGTGAGCCGTGGCCAGCATGACCGTGCCCATACTCTCCTCAACGAGACCCGATCGATTCTCAAGGGTCTCGGAAAGGGAGGGCTGCCCCCGATCCCTCCCATGAGCAAGTCGACCCCATCGGCCCCGTCGACTCCTCACCCTGGAAACGACTCCTCGCCGGGACCTTCCACTACCCCCGACCGCAAGAACAGCCCTTCGCCCCCAGCGTCGGCCACCTCCTCTGCGATCAACGGCTTCCCCACTGTTGGCCGCAGCCGTTCTAACGACGGCCTCGGTCTCGGCGCCGGCATCGATGCTGGCACTGTTGCAGCTCTTGATGCTGAGCTGGAGAGCAGCCTGGAGTGGATCAACCACCCAGCCGTCTTTGGCCGTGACAGCCGCAAGGCCGTCCTTCAGGCCATTGGCGTTATCAGTTCCCAACGTGCCTTCACCTTCCGCACCCCTATTGAGGGATTGTGGGCTGCCCGTGTCGGCGGCGTTAAGCGTCTCACGGAGAAGAGCCGTGAGTGGCGCGAGGAAGGCGGCGGCGAGGGCGGTATCATGGAGGAGGCCTAAGTGCCCTCTCTCCCTTTTCTTTCGACACTTGTTGCTCAAGCTTCATTTCGCGCGGCGAAGATTTGGCGTCTTGGTTTTCCGGCTTGATTAACGACCCATCACGACCCCATCACCTGGATGTTCCCCATGTCATCTCTACACGTATCTCTACGTTGCCCCTTGGCGCTTCTTTTATTTGTTTGCACATGGATACCACAACATCTTCATCCTCATCTCGACTTCAACTCCTTTGAACGGAGCCATTCGATACCCCCTTATCTCCCCACCATCTGGTGCATATCCAGGCTTACATTATGCCTTTGCTTGTTTCGTACTGTTTTGCATGCTCAGCAGTCACCCATGTCCATGGCATATATCTGCCGACAGAAGGGTGACGGGGCACATGCGTTGCTATATCATATCGTCTTTGGCGAAAAATCTACATGTTTGGTTTCTTGGGAACGGTGAAGGAAAAGAGGTTCACTTGAGAGAAATGTAGCCTGAGGAGCTGGCGTTTTCCCCGAATACCACGAATGGCGATTACTGCTTTATTGGTTTTTCCTGTATGATATAATTCATGTGCTGGATGGTTTCTACCGTCGCATCTGCAAGACATCTTTTGAGAGATATATATATATCCCTTTGTGCGCATCTGTCGACACAAATGAGAGCGATTTACGAGTTGAATACAATTTTTTGACCTCATATTATCTGCTGCCGAGTCCAACATGAAGTGAAGTCTTTCGAACAGGGTTGTCTCCCTCGAGAGAAAGCCAAGGGAACTAACTGCCCATTATTTCGTTACTGTGTCAAGTCAGGCATACTCATTAAGAGTAAAACTATTTGGTTAGCCTACACTTTAACAACGGGCCATCATGGTAACTTCGACAAGCACTGGCTGGGTATTAGTCCCTTGGTGGTATTTACCGTTATGGCCGGAATGGCTACTCTAGATACAGGCATCGCAAATGCTGCGCATTGCCCTTTTGGTTTTCACATTGATCCGTTCACACATGATTTGACAGCCTTAGTTGAGGGTATATCTAACCGCCCATACTACCGGGAGTTTTATTCACACATTCCCTGCCTTGTCCTTTTGAACTTGATTCAACCCTTAGTCCTCATCCCAGTTCTATACGAGTTAGTCAAGTTGAGCCTGGGAGGATGGAGTTGGCTTGAAAACTTACAGGGTTGGGACCCGGGGGCTTTGGTCCACCGGCTTGTCGTGCCACGATGATCTGGTCAACAGAAAGGACTGTGCGAGCGGCTTCGGTGGCGAGCTTGATGGCCCATTGCTTGGAGATGAGAAGATCGAGGATGCCCTCGTCCTTGGCGTCAAGGATGCCAGTGTTATCATCGTTCTGGATTTAACGCGTCAGTTCCATATTCCAGGGCTCAACGAATAGTATCAACAAACCTCAATATCAACACCAATATCCCACTCGTCACTGTTGGCGTGAGCGGCATAAAGTCGGCTCAGAACCTCGGTGGCATCAAGACCGGCACTCTCGGCAATGGTTCGGGGCACAACCTCAAAGGCCTCGCCGTACTTCTTGATGGCGTACTGGCTAAGACCAGGAGTCGTCTCACCATGAGCCTGTATCCTCTCAACCAGCTCAACTTCTGTGGCGCCAGCACCGGGGACCAATCGAGGATCGCGAGTAATGGCCTTGACAACGTTGACACCGTCGTCAACAGCACGCTCAATATCATCAAGGTGGTTCTGGGTGGCACCTCGGAGAACCAGGGTGGCCGTCCGGGTGACCTCATCTTCTTGTCGGAAGACAGTTACGCGGTCACCACCAATCTCGAGGGTCTCGACAACATCGATAGTTCCCATCTCGTCGGGCATGGGAGCACCTAACCGGGCCAGGGGGGTGGCACCGACCACACGGCAGACTCTTCGAAGCTCAAACTTGCTGAGAATTCGGATGAACAGGATGCCGTAACGGTTGAGGTAGTGCATGGCCAGGTCTCCCACTCGGTCTCCGCAGACCACGACGCGCAGGCCCGAATCGTGAAGCTCCTTGATGGCGGTCTCGAGCTGAGACTCCTCGCCCTTTGTAAAGTCCATCATCTCCTTGGCGTTGTGCAGGAGAACAGTGCCCTTGGTCTCGGTCTGGCCGGCATCGATGGGGCAGGTGAAGACACCGACCTTGGCGCGGCTGGCCTTCTTGACAGCTCCATCGGGCTCCTTGGGGAAGACCATGCCCTTGACAACTCTGCTCTGCTCGAGACTTCCACCCATGATCTTGACGACGCGGATGTTGTCGACGTTGAAGTTGGCGGGGTTCTTGGGGAGCACAGCGAGGACAGCCTCCGAGACAAGATCAGCGAGGAAGGTCTCGTTGCCGTTCTGCTTGCTGGCGATGACGGTGCTGATGGCCTTGCTGAGCTCTTCCTGATCCCGAATATCCTCAACCTTGTCGACTGAGAGCTCGTCGAGAGTCTCGAGAGCAAACTTCTGAGCCTTCTCGTAGCCGATGACGATATCCGACGTCTTGAGACCCATGCGCAGCAGGTCCTCCGCTTTCCGGAGCAGCTCGCCAGCGAGGACGATAACCAGATTGGTAGCGTCACCCATCTCGGCCTCTTGTTGCTGACTGGCCATGACGAGAAGCTTGGCGGCGGGGTGGACGACGTCGAGTTCGCGGAGGATGGTGGCGGCGTCCGAGGTGAGGATCATCTTCTGAAGGTGGTTGATGACGATCTTGTTGCGACCGTAGGGACCGAGCGAGGTCTGGACGGTAGAGGCGATGGCCCTGCAGGCATCGATGTTGCGCAGGACGGCGCCATCTTCCGAGTCGTAGCTGGAGAGGAACAGTAAGCATTTGCGGCGCTGAAGGTGAGGGTATTGAAGAAGCCATGAAGAGGCGGGGAGCTGCTGTCCAGAGGACGGGAGCAGGAGGGGAACAGGAACTCAACTCACTTATTGTAGCCCTGCTTAAACAGGCCCGCGTTGGGGGCGTTGGGGATGTTGAGCGACATGATGACTGCCACAGAGCGACGGGGGTCGAGTCTGGTTGTGGCGAGGTCGAGAGTGTCAAGGGTGAAGTTGAGGTTGATGCTCCTGACGATGGATTTCGCCCACCAGCTCCAATCTCCCTCCCACCATAAAAACTTCCACGGGCGTCGTGGGCGGTCGATTTAGTGGGTAGGTACGTACCCAGCTGCCTAGCTGACCCCTGTTCTGGTAGATGCCGGCTTGTGAATGAATTTTTACTTGGCCAGGCTGCTGCAATGGATAAGTAGAGGATGCAATAAAATTCCAGGAATATTCAAACTTGAACAAAACGATCATCTACCTAATTAACGACTTCTCTTCTGGCTCGAATGATCAGAGTGAACCTATCTACCCCAAGTTTTACAGCCTTGTCCCTCGAGGGGCTGATGACCCAATCATAGTCATCCCAATGCTTGCGCCACAAGCCCCTGACAGCCTTGCGTCCTGTGGCTAAACTCCAAACGGGGGGGCCCGCGAAAGGACGTTGCTAGGTGGTGAGCACCAGCGACACCATCGCTAGAGCCTCCCCCGGCGACGGCGGCACGGCTCGTGATGGCTAATGCCCTGGACCAGGACCATTTTCCCGCCTTTTCTCCTCATCCAAACTCTTTCAACTTTTGCCTCTTTTTCAAGCCGGCGCCACATCCTCCCTCGGCATCTTTTACCTAGTATTTTCTCCCACCGTCGATTGGACTCCCCCGGGGTTGGCAGCATCCAAATCAACAGCGCGAGAACACGCCTTATTTGTCGACGACCTGCTCCTCCGTGATACACCCAGATCCTCCACCGTGTCGACGACTGCGCCGGAATCTTCCAATTGACCAGCCGCGGCCGTCGCGCTGAATTCCATATTACACCACAAAGGAGAATAATCACTTTTTGTCGCGACGCGGCGTCATTCATCGCGATAACAACCTCCTTCACATCATGCCTGGTGAGTTTCTTGTCTTGTTTGTGTCAAGTTCAATGGAGTCCATGTCTCTACGGCTCACAGTGGGTTCTTGCTGTTTGTTGGCCTGCGGTCCCGGCTCCCGTCCGTCCAAATTCTGAGCCCACGGATAAGGCTGAGCGAGCGCACGCATCGTGGATGTCTCCCTTGCACCCTCCACCATCCTCATTCACATCCGTCGCGACGTATCTATATTCATCGTCATCGTGATAACCTGTCCTTGCCTCTTTTCGCGCCACCCTTCTTGAGTCCAGCATCGCATCACGTCGCCTCGACTCGCAGCATCCACCATGCCCATCACCCTCAAGCGCAAAGCACCAGATGCTGACCCTTCTCCTCCTCGCTCGACAGCTATCCCTACCGCCCTCCCTCCCTCAGTTGAGGAGGCCTACCGACGGAAATGCATCCAGCTGAAGAACCGCACGAGCGAAGTTGAAGACGCCAACGATGCCGCACGCCTCCGCCTCGCCCGTATCAAGCGCCAGGTCGAGAAACTGCGAATAGAGCGCGCCTTTCTGCTCGAACAGCTCGCGAAGCGTACCAGCGCCAATGTGGAAGATTCTGATGGCAGCCCTAGCCCACCTCCTACAGTACGCTCCCCCCCTTCCTTCGTTGTCCCCCAATCTTTCGGCACAAACCCTTACCCTTCGCGTTTGCTTGGCAAATCCTCCTCTCCGGTCTGCCGCCGGCGCCCGGTTCAATGTTGATGCTTTTGCGCTTGGATTAGGACTACCAATTCGCCATCCCCAGTGAGTTAGCTGCTAACCCCCAGAAGCCCAAGGATAAGCCCTTGCGTACCAAGCGAGGCCACCGAAAGTCCATGATGACCGATGCCGACGCCAAGGCGACTGGCGGTGCCTCGTTCAACACCCAGAACGCTGGCTCGCCCACGTCCGAGACCTTTTCGCACCCTCCCGAGAGCCAGTCCAAGGGCCCGCGCGCAAACGGTGTTTCCAAGGAAGCCAAGAAACCCGCCGACGCCTTTGAGCTGTACTGCTCCGAGACACGACCCGCCCTCGAAGCTAAGCACAAGGACGGTGACGCCGAAGTCGACGTGGAGAGCGAGCTGGCCCGCGGCTGGAAGGAGCTGCCTGAAGCCGATAAGGACGAGTTTCAGGCCAGGTTCGAACAGTCACAGGCTAAGAGCTCTGAACCTAAGGAGACGCCTGCCGAGGATAAGAAGGAGGACGAGGAGGAGGAGAAGCCCGAGGAGACCAAGCCCGCAGCCCAAGACGAGGATGTCGAGATGGGCGACGACACCGAGGATCAGGACACGCAGGCGGGCGAGAAGGCAGGGGAGTGAGCGGCATCATCAGCCAGACTTTGATAATACCGGGGAGGCGTTCTGGTGGGTTCATGGATTCGGTCACACTACGCAATGCTTGGCCATTGTGCACTTTTCAAAGGGGTTTTCGCATCAAGGAAATGATATTCGGAAAGGGTTCAGAAAGAAACGGGAACAAATAGAGTAAAGAACTCCCTCTCCGCGCGCATCGTCTTCTACCGTTGCCGCGAAGCCATCTTATCTAAATATGGATTCTGTATGTTTTACACCGGTACTCCCGATCCATCATCCCATACGGTTTTTCTGGTTTCCCAAGCCAAAAAGAAGTACACAATCCCGATTCGCTAGAGAGCGCTGTATTAACGGCGAAAGGGCGGGACAGAATAAAATGGCCTGGCTAGGCTGTGGTCTAGTCACCAATGTACAAGTCGACGACGATATTTATCGCGGCGACGAGGATTTCGGCTGCAATGAGAATAATCACTAAAATATTGGTTAGCTTGGACATATATCCAGTGTCAGAAACGGTGACAACATACCAATCCACTCCAACTTCTCATCATGGCCGTGGCTAAGCTCTCCCTTTAGCACAGCTAACAAATCGGCAATGACGTCGAGACGTTCTGTGAGAAGACCAACACGCTGGTCCATCTCTAAGTAACTCCTCACAGCCTGGTACACGGGCTCGAGCTGCGGTTCTACCCAGAACAGCTCAGGAGTGTCGAGGACGGAGCCGTTGAGGTGGATGCTGATGCGGAGGATAAAGAGCTCGCCGATCTGCATGTTGATCTGCGATCGCCGGAGCGCAATCTTTCCCGTCGTCGCTATTTGGGTGGGAATGTCTTTGCACGTTTCGACGGTTGACGCTATCAATTCCTCGTAGAGTGAAGTCTGAACGGGTTAGCATATTCATTGTTTCTGTCAGAGCATTTGCTCACCTTGACGCTCTGCGCCACCGCATGCGAGATGGCTAGCTTGGTCATGTAGTTGTTCTTGTCGCGCAGGGTGATAAAATCGTTGTATATGCGGGCCTGGTAGTCCTTTGTGTAGTAAAAGTTGAACTTTTCCGTCTCAACATCGTCGGCCGCGAGCTTCTCCGTCTCAAATTTGGATATCTCCTTCAGGAACCTGGCCTCGTGGGCCTCGGTCATTCCCCAGATGACAACAACTCCGTAGTCAAAAAGGAACACCTCGGGTGTGTGTATATGTGTGTCGAAGTCCGGACTGTTCTCGATGGGGTCACGGTCATCCACGGCGGAACCCAAAAGCTCTTCGTTGCCAATATGGGAACCGTTCCCATTGGTATGGCCGTTGTGACCTGAGGAGTGGTCTCGAGTCTCTGGTTCAACTCCTTCTTGCTGAAGATTCATCAAGTCGCTCCTCTGGGGCCTCTCATCCATGGCGTCGCCGCCAGTAGAGTGTCGTCGCTCATAGTTCTGAACCGGATCGCGGCTGCGAGCGCTCTTGGCACCGTAGTTGTACGGCGTGTATATGCATTCGTCGATGAGTTTGGGGCTTGCGCCCCTGGTCTTGCCCCTCCCCTTGAGGAACCTCATCAGGGCGTCCATCTCGTAACGGTTCGCGGTACAGTACGCTGTTACACGGGGGAGCCGGTCTCTGTCTGCCTTACCCAGCTTTGCCGCATCCCTTCGCGCGGCAGGATCTTTAATCCTCGTGTACTGAGAATAGACATCTCTTCCGCTTTCTTCGTCGGCCTCCTCGTCCAGGTCCGGGGCGGGGAGTAGCTTGAGCTTCTCCGTCTTCTTGGTGCTTCGCTGGGGACCAATCTTGGGCCCGAGGGCCAGATGAGCTACCGCGGGCACAGATCCCTGGCTGTTGCGTCTGCGGAGCTTGTTGTTGAGGGCTGTGAGCATGGGAGGGCCGCCAGCGGCGCTGCTTGATCCGGAGCCATGATGGTGAGGGCTTCGCGGTTGCAATTGTAGTCGGCTGGGCTCGATGGTTCGCGTGACGGGGTTATCGCTAAATGTAACGGTTCGCGCTGCCTTGGGACGAGTCTCGGTCGGCAGCAGAGGTGTTGATTCACTGGGCGGCGCGTCGGATGTGGTGGTGGTGTGAGAATCCATCTTGGGTGAATCTCACAAAGATGCTGGAAGTATCAAGGGCGACAAGGCGCAAGCAATTGAATTCAACGATGCAACACCACTCTCCCAGAGAGCGGGAAGTAACAAGGGCCTCTGACGGATGGCGCAAAAAGACTTGTAAAAGATGGGTTGATGTGATACTGTAGGAATGCTGTGGTAGATCGAATGGAAGAGCTTTCAAAAGATAATGACTGATGATGACGTTTTGCGCCCAACTTGGACAGAAGGTTTTCTCCAATTTCGGCCCACTGAATGCGAGAGCTACAGGGGACCCGCCACTAAAGCAGCCAAGCTACAGCGCGTCCACGTGCAACTTGACTGGCCCTGGCGACAGGGCCGGGGCAACGAGCAATGTTCCCCGCCTTTCAACCTTGAAGGTCCATGAGTTGCCATGGAGGTCAAGAGACGATAATGAGACTAGAGTGAAGATATATTGCTCTGAGACTCATAAAATACATTCTGGACACGATGTTGGAATTTGCCTCTTTTATTTCCCTCACACTGCTAACTCAATGTGGCCGGTACCTTACTTACGCATATCACGTCCAGTATCAACACACCATGTAAGTGAGGACATCACATGTGAAACCACAAAACCCATCAAAACTTGGCGATTCGCAATCAATTTTAGAAACATCTACTTCATGTAGCCTTTCAGAGATAATAGCAACTCCAAGAACGTGGTAGGGTCATCTAAATGCTCCAGAAAACATGTTTGGATATAGAGAAGCCGTTGCCAATCCGTCCATGTTCTAAGCGTCAATAATCTTCACCTCCATCTTGAGGCCAGAGTCGTCCAGCCGATCAATTAGACCCTGACCAAGACAGGCTGGCGTATAGCAGCCTCCATCCAGCTGGATTTCATCTTCCAAGATGGTCGCAGCAATCTCTGCGAGCAGCATTCCCGTCACTGAAAAGTCATTAGCACCTGTCAACGATACAACTCATGCAGTTCCATCACTTACAGTAGTATATGCCGCCATGATACCACATGTGGCAATAAGCCGCCTTGCCTGTGGCCTTTTCAGAGTCAGGATACGCAATACAATTGTACTCGAGTGCGTCATTCTCTGTGTCTTCGTGCTTGGCGCCCTCTCCAGGCTGCAAGACACGGTTCTTCAGAAACGCCCTCAACGGAGGAATCGACACAACCAACATGCCTCCGATCAGAAGGAGCCAGTGGATGAAGATTCCGTGGAGCCAATTGCGAGCCTTCATGTACTCTGACCAGGTAAAGTTGGGTCCGTAGAACTCATCCTTTCGAGAGGGTGTCTCTGAGAGCAGTCCCCAGGTCCGCTCAATGACGGGGATGTTGGTCGATGCCATGGCAGAAGTGGTCATCAGGCCAAGGTTAGGTACAGTTCGAACACCAAAGATCTTCTCGAGGATGGAGTCCTTGGGCCTCGTGGGCTCCTTATGGGGGATAGGAGACTGAGCATATGGGCTGTTGGACTCTTTCACTTCCTTCAATGTGAAGATATCCCAGAGGCCAAGCGCAGTAGCCAGAGTGCCGCCAGAAGGTGACGAGCTGTGACCAGTGTCAGCACACTATACCTTATCAATTCATCAAGTACAACTCACCTGATTCTGTGAAGAGAAATGGTGACATCCTTGGTCGGAGTTCCCAATTCGGTGCGGATTGCCTTGGCCATAGCCCATGTGCCGAGGTCCACGGGAGCAGACTCAATACCAGACTGAGGGACCAAGATAGCACCCGTCTTCTTGGCAGTCGCCTCATACTTCTTGATCATCTTGTGAACCCATGGGAACTCGCCCGTGGCATCCACATAATGGGTTCCCGCCTCAGCGCAAGCTTTGAAGGCATGTTCGCCGTAGATGCTGTAGGGGCCGACAGCGGTGATGAGGACACAAGTCTTTTTCGCGAGTGCACTCAAGTCATTGTCGTTGAGGCTGGCGATCTCAATACCTACACAATGTCAGTCAAAGGTTAAAATACGTGGCCCTTCCATGCCTGTAATAGGGATTGCTTCATACCTGGTGGCAGCCGGTCAGGATTGCGCTTTTTGCACTCGTCCACGACAGCTTGCAGCTTAGACTCTGAGCGGCCGGCGACAGCCCACTTCAGGTCAGTTGCGAGGTGAGTGATGATGTACTCGGCAGTCCATTTGCCCGTGTAGCCTTGAAGGCGGTCAGACTTGTATGAGTTGCTCAATTGCCTCCCGTCTTGAACTCACCGGTAGCTCCAAAAACAACGAGGTCGTATTGACGACCATGCTCTTTGATCAAAGGCATGTTGAGGCTAGTGGATGCACAATGGAGTGAATAGGTTTGTAGGACCGATGAGGAGAAGGGGAAAGAATTCGTCTAAAATACGAGAACGTGGCACTACTCTAAACACGATGCCATGTCTTCTTTTACATCATTCTACCTCTGAAAGTACAGTAGCTCTGGTACACCCAAGTGGTCGGTGTCTTGCTCCAGGCCGGCCCACCCACGGGAGCTTCAAGGGACCCTGGTATTCAGCCCAGCTGCATCAGCATCTTAACTCGGCCACATGTGTCAGTCATTCTCAGCTAGCAAATGCTGGAGTAATGAGCCATCCCTTGGTAATATGAGTGTAGAAAGAAATGAATTTTCTACTATCAACACAAAAGGCCAAGATGACGTTTCCATTTGTGAACTGCCCTCACCACCTTGACGAAAGTGTCGCCAAGCTGCCTCGGTAAGTTGCCCAGCTCAACTTCATCCAGCCAGTGCTGCTCTGTGCGCAAAGACAGCTGGGGAGCTTGCACGAATCAGGTTGACGGAAAATCCTCGAGAACCGAGAGTCTCCTCCGAGTCAGGATTTCCTAGCATTTTGCCGAGGTTTTTCCTCAATTGCCAAAATTCAAAGAAAAAAAAAAGTAGGTGGGGCCTCGCTTCCCCTCACGTGCTATGTGCTTGCGCCCTAACGAAAATCACAGGTCCAATTCCAAGCACACTTTCGCAGTCAGCCTCCAACCGCAGTCGAGCAACTTCACCTCCACTCGTCTATCAATCCGTCTTCATCCTCCCAAGACGTCCCACACATAAACCCTCAAGATGACCAAGCGAACGAAGAAGGTCGGCGTGACGTGCGTATCTCCCCGTTGCTGAATTGCTGCTGGAAATCAAATTGCTAACTCTGTCGGCAGCGGTAAATATGGTACCCGGTAAGTTTCACGATATCTCATCGCCGATAAAACTTCGACAACGATCTCTCCCTACGACCTCGCCTCTGCCACGACCTCCCTGATGCTTGCGACTTCTCCCTGGCACCTGCGACTGCGTCAAACATCAAGACGGGGCACTGGATCACTGGATCACAACTGGAACAAGAATCCTGGCAGTTTGGGGCAGTCGTGGCAGATCAAGGGCAGCAGGGAATGAGACCACTACTCGACGGCCCGGCATGATCATATCAAACCACAGCAACTAACGCATGGCTGTACAGTTACGGTGCCTCCCTGCGAAAGCAGGTCAAGAAGATGGAAATCACCCAGCACGCCAAGTACACCTGCACCTTCTGCGGAAAGGTCACTGTGAAGCGACAGGCCACTGGTATCTGGGACTGCAAGTCTTGCAAGCGCACCGTTGCCGGTGGCGCTTACGTCGTCTCGTGCGTCCCCTCTCCGCTACGGCGACAACTGACACAGCGATGGAGAACTAACACCAACACAGCACCCCCGCTGCCGCCGCCATGCGATCGACTCTGCGACGACTTCGTGAGATTGCTGAGGTTTAAAGGAGTGGACTTTAGCGGGAGGGGAAAACGGCTTTGCTTTTCGGTCTGGTGCACGGGGGGAACATGGATTTCGTGCCTACACTACGAGTTGGCGGACTGGACGTCAGCACCCGATCTTCGGTCGCATAGAGGCCGTTCGATTAGCAATGAACAAAAATGAATTGCATAGTTTCGGACCCTTTCAACGAACAGACGGATCTTTGCGACTTGTCGGCAGAGGCCCCACGGATTTGTGTGAAGCCATGGCCAACCAGCGCTGAGGATTCCAACTCGTGGGCGAGACAAGGCAGCGTTATTATCGTCAAGCATAACAAAACCCCAGGTCACATCCAATATCATCGTGGCAGAGTTCAGCGCACTGCATACCTGGGTTGGCCTGTTAGAGGCTGGGGGGATGACTAGGCAGTCGGGGTTTAAAACGTCATCGACATCGTAGAAGAGTCACGGATATACCGCGTGTATGATCGAATATCAGTCTCAGATGGTTGGTTCATGTGAAGGCAGAGGACCCGTTTTGCTCAGTGGGCCGGTCAGACCGCAAGTGCGGCAGATGTTGAGCTGACCACAACCGTGACAGGCTGATCGAAGATGATGAAGACTCTAGGTCCGTCTCATAAAGTCGAGCCCAGTCGACCAAGGCAATGACCCTGACCAAGGTGGTTTGCCGCCCTGCCTTCCGAGCGCAAGTGGGGGTTTCCATGTCTCTGCACGCATGAGACAGCGCAGCGCATTGCTTTGGCAGCAGATCGCGGCCGAGTCTCGACGATTCTCTCCGATAGTGAACCCACCTCAGCCTCCGGACGATAATATTTTTTTTCACGAGAGGTAATAAACAAGAAACAAAAACAAAACTGCGTGTCTCTGTTACGGCCCTATGAGAGGACGCGAAGCCCATCCCTAGTGTTAGGCGCCGGACCACACAAGCAGAGAGGGGCCTATCCCAAGAACCCTGATCTATCACTCGAGTATACCCTTCAAGGTCGCATCGTGAGTCGAGCGGAGACCCACGACGGTTGTCGACTCACGGTTATTGCGCGTTTGATGCGCAGAATGAGAGCGAGAGCAGACCGCCCATCAAGGGAGGTTTGACGCCATCTACAGAAACAGCCCGAGTGCGTGCGTGACTCGTCATGGGGCTAGAGGTTGTCGGGGGTTGGTGGTGCTCAGAGCCCCCTCCGATAAACGTGGAAGCCCAGTTCAAGCAAGGCGAGATCCGTCACGAGGACCGCATCGCCTATGCTGGGCGGGATGAGCTAATAGGGCATTTCAAGGCAAAATGTGGGTTGGGCTATGGCTCAGCTCGACGGTAGTCTTTTTGTAGTTTGAGAGTCGGTGAGATAAGCACTTGACGCTTGACGTTGTACCTGAGTGAGTGTTCGTGCGTATGAGGAACCAGAGAGTAAGAGGATGTTCGGGTGTCAGGCAGGCCTGATGGCAATATGCGCATGGGGCGGATGGAGTCGTCGTGTCGCAGGTGACGCCTTGCTCAACAGCTGGAGCCTTGGGGTGAGCTCAGCGGGAGAGACGGGAGAGAGAACTGACCAATCTGCCAGGTACCTCGCTAACGTGTTGTGCTCGGTACCAATTACGGCGACGAAGTTCGCATCGGAGGTTAGCCCAGCCCATGAAGGTATCGTAGTAGTAGGGGGAATGGACATGGACGGTCACACGTAAAAAGAGTTTCCTTACATTGGGTGTCTGTCTGTCTTCCCTTCTGGGCAGGCGGAGAAAACAACCTGAACCTGAGCATAATAGTACAGCACAGCACAGAACAGAAGAGCACGGCACAGAACCGTCCCATCTCATGCCGGATTCCATCGCTCCGTCATCCATTCACCTTCATTTCCATTCTCATTCTTTGCCTCTTGCCTACCACTTTCCAATCAAACCCATCTCCCCCTCCCTGGCAGCCTAGACACTTGTCCCCAGTCATCCGTCTCCTCCTCAGGGGAATTCACGCTTTGTCTTGTGTCCAACCTTGAGAGTTCGATACACGCTACAACCGTGAAGCTTCGTAACGGGCATTCCCCTACCACTACCACTACCACTACCACTTCCACTTCCACTACCACATGTGGGCTTCCAGAACGTCACTGACGACACGATTTCAACAAGCCACTTTGAGTGTATCACCAGCCACTTGAGAAACGGACAAAACTTTTCCTCCCCTTTTTGTTATTCTTGTTATTCCTCATCTTAATATTATTCACTCTGCCGACCGACTACGCCTACGCATACGCCTGCAGTTCCACCCTCTGAACAGGCAGCCAGGACCCTGCAACTTTGGGTGGCTCACTGTTAGTACCACTCGCAGGGATACCTGTACCTGTACCTTTGTCTGGCGACAACCCGACTTGGGAATCGGGAAGAGCAGCGAAGCCCAGCGCAGCAGCGTCTTGCTTGGGACTCGGAGACTGGACAAAGAGGGAAAAAAAAACAAGAGGTATTTATTTTGTATTTCTCTCTACATAATCAACCCCATCATCTCCCCACTTTCAACCCCCCTTCCCACTCATCTTCGCCTCGACTCTACTCGACTCGACGCGACCTTAGAGGTACCCAGAGCCAGTCATCCAGGGTCTCTCTTTCTCACAGAAGCCCAGCCCCAGAACGCAGCCAGGGACTGACTGGACGCTCCCCGCGGACCGACGGCCCCTGATTGGACCATTGTCAGGCCCCCCCTAACAGCCTGGAGGCGCCAAAACCGCCTCTGGAGGCCCGCTGCACTTGGAACTTTCTTCCTTCAATTCTCAGCAGGCCGCTCGCTCCATCCCTCGCCCTCCCAGGCGCTCTCTCGTCCATCCCATCCACTAATACATCACCACTCATAGCCCAGGCCCTGCCGCTTTGCCCCCCCAAAAAACGAGCCATCCCGCCTAAATCGATCACCACCACATTTACCACGCCCGCCGCCCGCTCGAGTCCATTTTCTTTGGCCGATTCTCTTTTACATGTTTCCATCAAGATACGGCCTTTGTTATCCAAAACGACATCATGTCTGAGCCGGAGCAGTGCATTATATGCCTGGATCCCTTACCACGGGCCGCCCTCGAGACGGACACTCAAGCCGCCGTCAGTGTAGCTGATGCTGTTGCCGATGTTGGTGCTGCTGCTGCCACTGACGGCGAACCCGCTCCCGAACCCGCTCCCATTGCTGCCGCTACCGCTCTCTACGCTACAGCTCCCAGCTCCCTCGACGACGATTCCAGCTATCTCAACATTGTCGCCGCCCTTGACGGGTGCAATCATATTATTCACGATGCTTGCATTCGCTCCTGGGCTCAAAAGACAAACACCTGTCCCATCTGCCGTAATCCCTTCCACTCTGTCCGCGTTTACAACGGAGTCGATGGTAAGTTTAGCTCATCCGCCCTCGTGCATGTCTGCACACGCTGACTGGTGTCACTATGCAGGAACGCCCATCTCAAAATACGAAGTCCAAGACAAGAAGCAGATCGCCGAATTCGACGTGACCCAGTGGCTGGGCGATAATCCCGAAGAGGAGGAGGAGGAACAGGGCAATCCGTGTCCTATCTGCAACTCGGCGGAGCGGGAAGATATCCTCCTCCTTTGCGACAGCTGCGATGCCGCCTATCACACCCACTGCATTGGTCTCGATGCAATCCCCGACGGCGCATGGTACTGCATGGAATGTGCCCATCTATTCCAGCTCGAGGATGAGCCAGAACCTGTCGACGAAACTGATCGATCCCCACGTCCCATATCTGTCCGACGCCCAAATCCGCGAAATGTGCGCGGGTACCGAGTTCGAACTAGAGAACGCATGCGAAGGGCCCGCCGTCAAGCTCGAAATGCAGAGTGGCAGGGCGCCTGGGGCCAGTTTTCGGGTCGCTTCTACGAGATGAGCGACTTGGACCTCGACAACCACGATGATGAGGATGAAGAGCTTGAGCAATACAGGCGATTCCAAGAAAGCGGTCGACGCGAGCTCGAGAGATGGCAACAGCGAATGGACATAGCCCGTCGACTGGGCGCTCGCGACGTCTTTGTGAACAATATCCCCCCCGCCATAAGCGAGCGCCTTCAGCCCGCGCCTGAGCCCGTGCGAGAAACAGCCGAGGAGAGACAAGCATGGGGCGCTCTCGCGCGTGCCCGCGAGGTTGAAGAGTCCAGTACCAACTCTCGCAAGCGCAAGGTGCGATCAGTCACGGCATCCCCTCGCGAACCCGTCCAGGAACCAGAACGCAAGCTCAAGCGACCTCGAACTCGACGACTTCCGACTCAGAATGGCGAGGGCTCGAGCTCTGTATCATCCCCAGCGCCCGGTCCCTCGGCTGGACGAGTCACGAATGGATCGTCGACCAGAAATGGTGTGGTCAACATTGGCGGTATAGACCCTCCCCTCGTCTCGTCGCTTCTGAAGGAGCTCGAGCCGAGTAACATGTCGGATGATGAGACGTCGGGCACGATGAATGGATGGCGACATCCACCAGATGCTTCGTCGCCAGCCCTATCGCCAGCGCTTTCTCCCTCGTCATCCGCTTATGGCAGCCCCAGGGCTCTCTCCACCACTCCTCCTCCCCTGCTCAGTCTGGCGGGTCGACCAACCTCACCAACCCTTTCACTCAGCACCACTATCCAGCCTCACTACCCACCAGCAAACTATTCACCTACCCGCGCCAACAAGACTAAGAATATTGAACATGGCGCGCAGGAAGCACGGTCAAGAAGACCACAGGAGGTCCAGCCAAGCAGGCCACAGGAGACACAGTCAAACAGACCGCCGGAGGGTCGGCCGCTAGAACTCCGCCAACCCCGGCCACGCCGGGCACACCAGGTTCCAGCACAACCACCAAAAGACCAATCCCCAACAAGACCCAACGCGGCGTCCGATATCACTCATGAAGACAAAATCAGGATCAATGAGATCGTCAAGGGCGCATTGCGACCGCACTGGCGGTCTCAGAAGTTGACGACAGAGCAGTATTCAATCATCAACAGGGACATCTCGAGAAAGCTTTATGACGAAGTCAAGGGCGCAGTTTCGCTGAATGATGATGCCCGCCGGCAATGGGAAAAGAGAGCTACCAAAGAGGTAGCTCAAGCAGTTGCAGAACTGTCTGCTTAACGACAGAAAGCGGGAACTGAGTTTAGCGGGCGTTCAGGTATCATGGGGCGGTCCATGTGGTTTGATACCCAGCATCATTTGAAGAGGAGCATTATTCTTTGAATTTCGAATAGCGTGCGTGGTGCGGCGAGGAGTTGGGTTGGGTTACGATCGTGGGTCTTGTCTTGTCTGTATCTTGTGCGTCTGGGCCATTATTATCTTGGCTCCATGTGTATTCAGTTATGTGTCTGTATATCATTTTCGGCAGGCATATGAGCCTAGGGTTTAGGAAATCAAAGCCGCATCTTTGAACAGCAATTCAAAGTTCAGTCGAATCGCAGTGTCATGTGTAATGTTGACAGAGAACCTGAGATTCACAGTTTAGCCTCGCGTCTGCCCAACAGATGATCTGTTACCAGCAAAAGGGCATGACGGATACCCAGGTGTTGATACTCTGCTTGGCTCAGAGAGCGAGGTTGGACTGAGAAGAAATTGCATCACGATAAGAAGGCGAATGAAAGCGAGAAAGCTCGGCTTAATCTCCCCTTCCACGATAGCTGCGTGGGGGGGTTGAGCGGAAATGCAAGCACACGACGGACGATAAACCAGACTTGGCGTGGATGAGATGTCAGCAGTATCTATCTAACAGAACCCGGTAGGAAAATGATAAGAAAAAAGCTTCTTGCAGGTCCCGCTAGCGAAAAAGACTGCGGAATTCACTCTCGGCACACGTAAATGATCAGGACGTTCTGGAGGTGGAAACAGGTCTTGACGATAAGGAAATGGTGCCTTGAAGAGAGAAAAAGAAGAAAGAAAAAAGGAAAAGAGAATTGGAAATTTGCTGTGGGTTATGGTAAAGTGATTGATGCCTGAGGCATAGGTGGACTTTGAGGGGTCTTAGGTAAGCCTTTTAAGAGTTCAGAACCTCGAAGCACGGTCACCAATTGGACAGAGGTACGTACCTCGAGCCGGAGAAGGAAAAAGTTCTAGAGGCGCGAGAGCAGCATCGTGGGAACATCACCAACGTCGGTCCCTCAATTCGCACCCATATTTCCCCCCCCTTCGTCCACTGAGGGAAGACGGCTATAATGACAGCATCAAGTCGAGGTGGACGGGCCCTTCGGGCTGCGCTATCCAGTGAGTCCACCTGCCCTCCCGCCGGGCCTCAATTGAACACTGGGGGGACCTGGAGCGGGCTTTCAAACCTCAAGAGCTCTTGTATAAACTAACGAGCGGGAATTGTCTTTAGCTTCTCCCAATGTCTGCTTCCGATGCGCTTCCTCTTCCTCCTCCGCCTTTCCTAGACTCTCGGCCCGCCTCTATTCCTCCGCCGTCGATGCCACAGCCACCACCACCACAGACTCTGCCCCTCCTGTGGCAGCCCGCCGTCCTCCTCCACCATACGATGTCCAATCCGGTATGATCCTCACCCGGCCGCCGCTGGTGACGCGGAAACTGCACCCGTTCGAGAACTCTTTCTTCTTTTACCAGAAGCGACTCGAGGAGCGGCTCAACACACCCTTCATCACGAGCATCTACTTCAAGCCCGACACGGCTCGCCGGCTGGACTGGAACGTCAAGGTTCAGGAGCGCCAGGGTACCGTCGCCAAGGAGCTTGGTGTGTACAATGGCAAGAGCTCCAAGGCATGGGATGACGAGCTCCGCGTCGGCGACCAGCTGAGCGACCAGGAGAGCATCGTCAAGGCCCTGCTCAAGGACGCAGAGGCCCGTGTCAGTGATGACGCTGAGCTCATCGCCCCCGATGATGTTGTGCCTGTGGAGCCGCCCGTCGACCGTCTCACCGAAGCTGACCGCAAGGGTGATGTGAAGCGATTGGATCGTCAGCTCGATCGGACGCTGTATCTGGTTGTCAAGGGCAAGGATGGCTGGGGCTTCCCCGCGGATGTGATTCCCAAGGATGAGAACCTACACGAGGTAAGCTTATCTATTCCTTCAGCACGAAAAAATACTTACCAACTACTTCAGTCCGCCAAGCGTGTCCTTGACCAGGCCGCTGGTGTCAACATGAACACATGGGTCGTCGGCCGCGTGCCCGTCGCCCACGTCGTGACGAAGCCCACGCTCAAGGCCGACGGCAGCGTCGAGAAGAAGGGCCAAAAGACCTTTTTCCTCAAGGGTCGGATAATGGCCGGCCAGGCGGACCTCGAGGGCAACCCCTTTGGCTACACCGACTTCAAATGGCTGACCCGCGAGGAGCTCGAGGCCGAGCTGTCGCCAGAGTACTTCAAGGGCGTTCGCAACATGATGGCCGACAGGTAGACTAGATGGGCCTGGCAGTGAGGGCGCTGCGTGTAAATTATCATGTATACTTGCAGTACAGAAGCAAATGAAAAGTCAATATCATCTCGTGGGCATCTACGTAAAGTCGACATGATATAAGGGCAGGCTGAGATGGCTCAAGTCTCATTGACGAGACATGAACTCAGGGGTAGGATGGAAAACGCCTCACAGAAACCCGAGGCAGACTAGATCATCTGTTGTTACGTGATATGGTATTCATCGCCTCCAAGACATCGCAAACCAACATGGTCAGCCTCCCTCTAGCCTAGAGAAAACAACAGCAGGAATTTCAATTCATCATCGCATAAGGAAAACCTTTCTCAACTCGCCCAACGCCAAGTTCCGCCCTCCAAGCGCATTGCTACTACATGGGATGGATAGGTACAGCAAAGACACAAAAAAAAAAAAAAAGCCCCCATCACGCTCTTCTCAGTTCGGTCTCGCCTGACCCTCGACAAACTTGAGGGCGTCATCCGCAGTGACGCAGTCGATGGTGCTCGTCTTGTTGACAAACGTCACACCGTAACACTTGTCTGCAACGTGGACGATCTCGGGTCGGAAGGTGGTGCAGATGAACTGCGTACCAATCTCGTTGGAGATGGAGTCGAGGAGCGCTGCAACAGCCGTACGATACTGGGCGTCCAGGTTGGCGTCCACCTCGTCAAAGATAACCATGGGACTGCTCTCGGTTGCCTGGAGGGCAAAGATGAGGCAGAGAGCACACAAACCTGGTCTTGTTAGAAAGGGTATCACTCATCAGGGGAAAAGGTAGACTCACTCTTCTGGCCACCACTCAGCTGCTGGATCTTTTGCTGCTCGTCCAGATGCTTCGAGTTGAACGAGACGCTGATTCCTACACCAATGTAGTTCTCGACAGCACCCCGTGTCTCTCCCTCCGAGTCATCGGCCGGCTCCTGGCGACGATCCGTCCGTCGCTGGATGAGCAGCCGACCATGACCAGCGGGCACCAGCTTACCAAAGATGGTCGAGAATTCTTTCGAAACTTGCTTGAAGGTACGCTCAATGGCTTCATCCTTTCGACGGTCAAGGTGCTCAACGAGCTCCTCAATAGACGTTTGGGAAGCGTCCAGCTCCTTTCGTCGCTTCATCAGCTGATCTTGCTGAGTGGTGAAGCTGTTGTACTGTTCAAAGGCCTTCTTGTTGACGTGCTTGTACTTCTTGAGCGCCTCGTTTACTCGCCTGAGCTTCGACGTGATCTAGAACATGTCAGTTCAGGTTGTTTGCACTTATACCAATGATACTCACCGTCTTCTCCTCCATGTTTTCGTATTTATCAAATGCTTCCTCGGGGAGCACACCGAGGTCCCGAATGGTCTTGGCGAGTTCAGCAGCCCGCGCCGTCCAGAGAGCCTTCTGACGTAGACTCTTGTCCATTCTCTTCTTGTGCTTCTCGATCTTCCCCGAGATTTCTTGCTGCCTCTGCTCTCGCTGCGCCTTCTCGACGGCCAACTGGTCTAGACGGTTCTGTATGTCATCCATCTTGGCCTGTGTCTCCTGAAGGCTGGCCTCGACAGCTTTCAGAGCCTTCTGAGCCTTCTTGAGCTCCCTCTGCGCCTCCTTCAGACCACCTGACGATAGTCCAGATGCTGAATTCTCAAAAGCTTGACTGTTGAGCTGGTCAAGCTTCAGCTGCAGGTTCTGGCGCAAATCTCCCTCGAGGAGCTGCTTCCGTGTTTCCAGACTACGGCGAGCATTGCTGGCCTCGTTCCACTGCTTCTGGAGTTCCTGGACACTGTCGCTGAGTTCCTCCAGCTGGCGTTCCTCGGCTGCTGTCAAGCTCTTCTTGAAGTCGGTCTGAAGCTCAGCCTCGTGACCTGCAACATCTTCCAGGAAAACATTCATGTTCTTCTCCACACCCTCCCGACGCTTGATAGCAGCTTCAAGGTGGTTTCGTTCGTTCTCTAGATGCACCGACTTGTTCCTCAGCTCATGCCTCAGGGGCCCGAAGCTGTCATCGGCCTGCCGCAGCTTCTGCTCCAGCTTTTGAAGTTCTGACATGGCAGCTGTGATCTCTTGGTCTTTGAGCTCAACCTGTCGGCGGATATCGCGAGACTCGGCAATCTTCTCCTCGTAGTTGTCTCGCCATTTGTTGACAGACTGGACCGCTTGCAGTCGTGACTTTCGTGGATCGATATATCCACCAGTCATGGCACCTCTCTTGTTTGTGGTGTCACCTTCGGCAGTGATACCATCAACGCCATGGCTTCTGGCATACTGGCCGGCAACAGTCAGGTTTGGGCAGACAACAACCTTGCCAAACACTTGCTGGAAAGCCTTCTCGTACTCGGGGTTGTACGAGATCTTGGACAAGAGCGGTACAGCGTCGTTGGATCTCGGTAAGTTGATTTGTCGTGGTCGCAGTTGAGCAAGAGGCATAAAGGTTACTCTGCCTCCTCGTTGTCTGAAGAGAGCATCTGCGAGATGAGTGGCGGTGTCTGCATTGTCCACAACATAGTGAAAGAGACTGGCGCCAGCAATTTGCTCCACGGGAAGTCTATAGGCGTCGCTGACTTCGAGGAGTTCTGCCAGTGTTCCGTATGCTCCAGGGATGTCATTCTCTTGCTTCAGCCGTCGGATAGTTGCCAGACCACGCGCAGTAGCTCCGTCCATAGTATTCGACAGCTCACGCTCCGATGACTCCTTCTCTTGCCGAGCATCACCAATGAGTTTGTTGAGTTTGTCGTCCTCTCGTCTAACGAGCTTCCGTTCGTCATTCAGTTTCTCGAGAACGTCGTGTGCCTTGGTTGCCTCATCTGAGATGGCTTGTCTTTCACTGTTGAAATTGGCCAGGCGAGTTCGAAGATCAGAAACCTCTTGCTCGGTCTGGGAGATGGACTGCTGAACCCTCTCAACCTCCTCGTCCGCATCAATCTTGTTGGCCTTCTGGGTGCTGATGGTGCGATTCAACTCCTCGATCTCTTGCCTTAGCCAGGCATCACGCTCGCTCTTGTTTCTGAATCGAGAGCCTCGGCTTTGCTTGGCAAAAAGACGGTTTCTCGTGGCCTCCACATGATCGAGTTGCCTTCGTACCTCGGCCTCCTCTTCTTTCCGTCTGTTATAGTCGGGGATGATTGTCGCCAACTCTTCCTCTTTGGCGGCTATGTCAGCTTGGACTGATTCCAGTTCTGCATCATGCTGTGCTCGCGCTTGCTCTTGGGCAGATTGTCCTTCCCTGAGGTTCTTGGTTTTCATTTCTGCCTTGGCCAGCGCCTTTGCATTGTCGCGCCTATCTTCCTCAAGTTGTCGTCGATCAATCTGCAACATCTCCATGTCACGCTGGAGTTTGTGTACTTCCGCATCAAGCTTCTCGATCGCCTTTTCGCCCTCCGTGAACTCGTCTCGTCTTATGTCAGTGTTGTCAAGGCCGTCTTGCCGGGCGTTGTCGAGTTCCTCCAGAGAGTTCTGGATTTTAGTCTGCTCGCTGTAGTAGTATGCGTATTCCAGGCATCGCTTCTCTCGGTCCTTGTTCTGATAGGCCTTGAGCTCTTCCTTTTCCTCCTCCAGCTCATCCAGTCGTTCTTTGATGTACTTGAGAAGCTCGTCGATCTTTTCTCGCTTGTTGTTGGTCTCGTTCATGATTTTGAGCGACTCGGCACGACGGGTCTCGTACACTTGTGTTCCCGCTACCTCCTTCAGCAGGTTCAGTCTGTCCGACTCCTTCATGTTGGTCAGGGCAGTGACTCGTCCTTGGGGCACGATGTAGTATGGGTTTGATCGCGAGAATCCTGCAGCTTCGAGGAGGTTCATGACGTCCGATTTGGTCACAACCTTGCGGTCGACGGAATATTCGTCCTTTTTAAGACCAATCGTGCGGCGCAGAACAACCTCCTTGTTGCCAGTCGGGAAACGGTCGTCGCTATTGTCAAAGATGATCTCGACGTATGCTGACATGACAGCGGAGCCAGAGCCCTCGTGAAGGAGACCCTGGCGCTCCTCGCGACTCATCTGTGTGTAGGCATCGCTGAGGACGAAGCGGATGGCGGCAAAGAAGTTACTCTTCCCGGAGCCATTGCGACCGACGATGACATTTGTCTTTGACGAGAAGGGTTCAATGACGGTCTGGTCCTTGTAGCTGCGAATGCGTCAGTCAGTGGTGAGCTTGAATGGAGGCGGGTGCGAGGAGGGGTCGTGTGGGCGGACGACACCGACATACCTCTTGAAGCCCTGGATAATGATCTGCTTGATATACATGATGGGCTGCGCCGGCGCTGTAGCGCAACATGCGAGGGGAACAGGGAGTTGTCTGCGAGTTGCTGCGCAATCTCAACTCGGTCTGCGACTTTTGCCTCGTGGATGCGACCTGATGCGATTCGACGCGTCGGCTCAAGCACCGCGATCAAAGTGGTGGGTGTTGGCGCGTCGTTGCGACGGGACGTGGTTTGCTGCCTGAGAAGCTAGGCGCTTAGTTAGCGGCTGGTTGACGATAGGTGGTCCGTGCACTGTGGGAAAGCTTGGTCTCTATCATCCTGTGCTGGCATGAATGAATGATTGCCTGCCTGTCACCTTGAATACTAATACCCGGGCTTGCAAACGGTTTGGACCTGAATAACCGTTGTGTGCAGTAGGGTTGTATCATTAGACAGGCCCGGGCCTGACTCGGCATGGCTCGAATGCCTCTTCAGTATTTCCCATACCAGTTGGGCGAGTTGATGAATGCCATGCAGCTCTACGGCATGATTCGCGTGGCATCACTACCCATGCATGCCGAGCTCTCAAATCAGGTACCCTTTGATACATCGGTAGCAGATATCATGGGGTCGATCCTGGCTTGTCTCACTGCCGGGACTTTGCCTGCCTTTACCGCGTATGCGTGATTGATGTCGGTCGCCTTTTACGAGGCGTTGGCTCGGAACATGGGGATGTCCGACCGCTGTTGGTTATCACCGTTGATTTGGTCGGCCCACCACATGTGTTTCGCCTGGTAACGCCCCTGTAGTTGAGAGGCATCGTTCGCGCCATGTGACACAATTATAAGGTTGCCGGAGTCAGGCAATCCATTGTCACCATGCAAGGCGTCACCGTGCAGTATTGGCTGCGATGTTTCCTCTGGTTTGCCGAAGGCATCTACATGCATAATACTGCCTAGCTAGGCAGCACGGGCACGGTCTGGATAAGCGCTGCATGAAGCCTGTGACGAGGCTGCAAGCATTGCGCTATGCCTGCACGAGACTTGGTGGACTTGTATGTGGGTTTGGTGGTTTACGCACGATCTATCTGTTGGTCATCTTCCCATCATCGACAATGTTGTCAACATCGAGGCTGTGGGGAGGCTTTCACGGGCAACCCAGCACAATGACGCCGAGAGCATCGCCTTGTGCGCGTCCCGCGTGCCACATGGCTTTAATGATCAAATTCAGATGTCGGGTCGGGAATTTCAAGGGAGAAGACATGATTCAACTTGACGGTGTAGGGTAACTGACTCGACTGCCGACTGAAGTTGCGTTAGACAGTGGCCGCTCATGTCAGAGAATCCCCTTGACGACCCGAACCCGTCAGCAACGATCGCCCTGAGGCTGGTGCTGGGCGCCTGGGAGACTTTACTCAGCGCGGCTGGACCACACTTTAAGTGGACCCCCGCACTTGTGCCGTCAAGGCCCAGTCGAGTCAAGCCCCAAAAGGACAAGCCTATTGGAGAGGGCCAAGGGAAGAAAAAAAACAAAAAAAAAAAAAAGGCAGGGGCCGCGAAATGACGCTAACAGGCAAGAGGGAAATTAAGCGAGCGCAGTCCGAGAAACCGTTGGCCGTGCTTCCCAAAGCCGCGCCGCGTGTATAAAAATACAAGCACTCACTTATAGAAGACCCGGCCTGCCCTCCACCCCGATTTTCCCGGAACCACAGCACGACAGGAGCCAGCAGCACCGCCCAGCTTGCGCAAGCGGCAGAGCAACCAAGCAGGAAGCACCCACGCCTGTCCAGGAAAGAGCCAGCTTCCGCAACCACGAACGAATCAACTTGCATTGGTATTTGCGCCCACTTTTTTTTAATACTCTTGTCACTTGACGACATTTGTTCCCCTGTCATTTTACTTCACAAAGCGACGTTTGCTTGATTCCATATTCATCCATTCCCATTACCGCAATTCCCCTCCATCTTACCTAGTCAACCCCATCGCAAACACTCCATACCCAGACCCAGCCTTCTTCCGAACATCCCGCAACCCGGCCAACCAGCGGGGATTAAAAGCGCTGACGACCATCGCCATCGATCGGTTACGTCTCATTGCAGCGTTTCGTCTTGCATCGCTCGCAACGCGACATAACATCCACCCAACCTTAACTGCCGATGCTGCATGCGCGCGAGACAGGGGAACTTACTCGTTTAAGTTGGACTCAGCCCGGGACACTCGGTCAGCGACAACTCTGCAGTTGACAGCTTTCCTGAGCAACTGAAGTGTGCATTTTGGCTGCACCCTGTCCCCGAAGGCTTGACGCCCTCTCTCCTGCTCTGCATCATCAACTGGTTGGTAGGTGATATGCAAAGCTTCTCCTCTTCCTACCATCTCATCCGCCCTTTCCTGTCCGATGATCTCTTGATCCCGTCTGCCCCCACTCCCCGATCTTGTTGCGTCATGAGTGATTCGTCGTCCTCTGTCCTTCAATCACCCTTGTTGCATGCTCGCAACCCATCATTGCCACTGAGTTTTTCATCATATGTATTCCCTTGCAGCACCAACCGGGAGTGGCGCATGGTTGCCGACTCTGTTTCAGCGCATATCATTTCCTTCGTCATTTTCTCCCGGATGTCTGCATTTCCTTCCCGGCGACCCACACCCTTCCGTCGCGTCGCGCTACACGATCCCGCGACGTCGGATACGAGATCGTTGCCACCTTTTTTATACCCATTGTGATGCTTGGGCTTTTTGCGACTCGACTGGACTTGGACTAACCATTGGACTGTAGTGATCGAAATGTCATGATACACGCTTTTACACTTAATACCCCCAACTAATACACACCATGGCATCAAGGTAAGCCCTTTATCCGTTCACATATCTATCGCAACCTTGCTAACTTTGTATGCAGACTCGACAGATTGGTCACGTGAGTAAATGCATCCCCTGCTTCAAGACAGGCATCGAAATGGCTTCCCGTTGAAGACATGCGGAAACCCGCTTGTCCCCTGTCCGGGCCTGAAAGTGGAACATGGAACTGACTTGTGTGAACAGTATCCTCGAAACGGGGAGTACGAGACTAATCCGCGACACTGCTGTCAACCAGCTTGCTGACTGGCAGAAGCAACATCCTGATGAGTTGTTCAACCTTCTTTCCCGCGTTGTCCCCTACCTGAGACACAAGGAATGGGAAACGCGAAGGACTGCAGCTGCGGCCATTGGCAAGATCGTAGAAAATGCGCCCATCCACGACCCAAATTCCGAAGATGCACCAACTGAGCCCAAGAAGGAGGAACCCGCTGCCGAGAATGGCCACATCAAGAAGGAGGAGGAAGACAAGGAGCTCGACATCTCGGGCGACGAGGTATTCCGGCTAGAGTCACTCAACGTTGACATGATTCTCAAGTACGGAAGGGAGCTGCTACGGGGTGGCGGCATCGAGTATGGGCTTGCGGCTCTCGAACCACAAGCACGCCTAACCCACCAGAAAAAGACGTTGAACGGGCGGCTTGGCCTCTTGGGGAGGAAGTATGAGGACGAAGAGATCGCCTATACTGGCGGTGACAACTTGGCGCCCCCCATGACCCCGATGGATGCTACGAACGGCCATGGTCGACCAGACGGCACTAGTGGTCAAGGCCAACCCACCGAGGAATCCCAGCTCAGCTCTCGACAACTCAACGTCCTAAAACGAAAGCGCAAGCGAGAAGCTATGAAGGCATCCCAAGGCAAGGGTGGCTTCGGTGACCTCTCTGTAAGGCGCTCGTTAACATCGGGCTCGGAACATCTTGGAGAAGATTCCCCTATGCCGGACAATGACTCGAAAAAGAACGGCAAAGTGAATGACTACTTCAACCTCGACCGACCAGCGGACGTCGACGAAGACACCAAGGTAGTCAGCGAGTTCAAGGGTCCCGTCATTCCCATCAAGTCAGAGCTCGAGGCCGAGGACAACATGGAGGGCGCCGAGTGGCCCTACGAGCGGCTGTGTGACTTTCTCAAGGTGGATTTATTTGATCCGTCTTGGGAAACTCGTCATGGAGCTGCGATGGGCCTACGTGAAGTTATCCGTGTACACGGCGGTGGTGCTGGCAGAGTGCGTTCCAAGTCTAGGGAGCAGAACGATGTTCTCAACCGCAAGTGGCTTGATGACTTGGCCTGCCGCTTATGCTGCGTACTTATGCTTGACCGCTTCACGGATTACAGTTCGGACACGTCTGTTGCTCCTATCAGAGAGACAATAGGACAGTCGCTTGGATCTGCCCTTAAACACCTTTCCTCACAATCCGTCTATTCCACCTTCAAAATCTTGTACAAGATGGTAATGCAAGACGACCTTGGCCTCGAGCGGCCGGTGTGGTCTGTGTGCCACGGCGGTATGATTGGCTTGAGATATGTCGTTGCAGTCAGGAAGGATCTTCTCCTCCAGGACAGCGACATGATAGATGGAATCATCAGGACTGTGATGAAGGGGCTAGGAGACATGGATGATGATGTCAGGTCTGTCAGCGCCGCCACGCTGATCCCCATGGCTAAGGAGTTTGTCACATTGCGACCTGGACAGCTCGATGGCCTTGTCAATATCATCTGGGAAAGTCTGTCGAACCTCGGAGACGACCTCAGTGCAAGCACTGGTCGTATCATGGACCTTCTTGCCACCCTCTGCAGCTTCCCCGAGGTGTTGGAAGCTATGAAGGCTTCAGCCGCCCAAGACGAAGAGCGGTCCTTCACTCTGCTCGTCCCGCGCCTCTACCCCTTCCTGCGCCATACCATCACTTCGGTCCGTGTGGCTGTCTTGAAAGCTTTGTCCACATTTGCCAAGCTCGATGCAGAGACATCACAGGGCTGGCTCACTGGGAGAATTCTTCGGCTCATCTTCCAAAATATTCTCGTCGAGAGAGATAAGGAGGCCCTCAATATGTCACTGGAGCTATGGACGGCTCTCGTACAAAGCTTGGCCAAGAATCCTGCTGTCCTTGCTGATGAGTTTGCTGCTCATATCGACCCCATGATGCAGCTGACGCTTCATCCCATTGGTGTCTCGAGAAACCCGATACCGATGAATGCCACACTCTTCCAG